CAGGGTCACTGAGGCGCGCAAGCCATCACACCACGTCAAGGTGCAGTCTCGTCGTGACGGCGCGTCTCGGTTACGTGGATTATTGCGTGCAAGTGTCAGTGTGATCTAGTGCTTACGTGACATCCGTGACTGGTAATCAGTGATTCGTATTCCGCTTTCATTGCGTATTGCTACTACTACTACTATTACTACAATTACTACAGAACATCAACGAAAATGATGAAAGGTCACACAAAGTAGTGCTGAGGAATGACCGTGTGCACTATTAATAATAACCTTATTTTATAGATCATGTCGCGGGTCGACATCGATTCTATCGGAATCAGCCAAGAGTGGGGAAAAAACACAAAAGAGACACAAATTGATTCCTACATCAACCGTTGGCAACTGAACCTGTGGAATCACATACCCAACTTAGGCGAATGAACGGATCCAAAAATGAGAACAAAACCACGATTTGTCCTTCCCTTCTTGCATCTGGAACAACCAGGTGCCAGCTTTGAGATCATTCATTTTCCAATCTCAGCTCAGTACCGATTGAACCTGATCCAGTCTTGAACTTGGGGGAACACAGTGTTGCACAATTTATTTTTGCAAAAATCTCATTGTATCTCTTCAGGCACATAGTACACAAGTGAAGAAAATATAAAGAAAACTAAGGAGTAGTAGTAGTTACCGTGGATGAACAGTTAATGTTAACTTCATCCATCTTTCTACCGAGGCAGGGCTAGAGTAACAAACAACTCTTTCTGCTTGCACAGTTCAGATTTCCATGTTTTTCAAGGTAATTACCTCTGCAAACTGGGTGGTGGTGGTGGTGGCGCAGTGGTTGATTCGTTGTCACTGACGTGCTTTGAACCCGGTNCCTGCCACTACCGTCCCCCACCCCTACTTTGGTGGTAAGCAGCTTTGCTGTCGCCACTCCCAGTCCCGGGGCTTAGGTTGCCGGCTACCATCACAGCAGGTTATTGTGAATATAGGTTCCACTTCGTCTGTTGTTTATCACACACCGGTGTGTAGTAAATAAATAAAAAATAGCTGAGAACTTTGCGTGATGTGAACACTTTGGAAGACCGTGTTCACGTTCACTCGATGCCCGAATGTGGAGCGATCGATGACGCCAGTGTGCGATGATGGTTTGACCTTTGACCTTGATCATTCGGATGCGATTCGATCACTAGTTTGCTAACCCACACAGGGGAGTGTTCGACTACTCTTCTC